AGAAATTAACCGTATTTTTTTTTGTACTTCTAAATAGTCGTATCTTACTGGCAAAGTATGACTGTTGGTTCATCGCTTCTTGCAATTCTCTCCGCAGTTTGCCAAAATGACACCATCGTCATGACTGGTGGCGGTGGTTGATTTCTCCCAGGTTTCCATTCCGTTAAACATAAGATAGTCACTGATTGTTCTCTCGAGAGTTTCTACAAGGTATCATACGTGTAAATAAAAATATATGTTACAATAATACTAAAACTATTTATAACTATATAATCGCATTTGAAAGTTTGATCTACCTCGGAATTGTCAATGAGAAGTAATTGTTGTGACGTGTAATATTCTAGTTCTACAGTGCGTTTTGTTGTGATGTTCAAGTACGGTGTCGGCTTAAACTCGTCGCGAGGAACAATCGCGCAGCATGTCTGAAAATTTGTGATAGATAGATAAATCTTTAGTTCCAAAGTCTTAAATATAGCCTCCTATACGAAAAAAGTTTTGCTGAAACAGCTAAGAGATTAAAAAAATAATCTTATGTAGACGCTAAAATTTATTCTATAAACGTGGCATCGGAATATGCTCATACCGGATCCTGAGGATCAGGTGGCTGTAGCATAAGAATAAGTTCCACTTTGAACTCAGCGACCATTCGCCAAAAGTCACTAATCGTCGACGGCATGGGAAGCTGTGTGGCTAGATATTGATTCTGAAGTTTTACTCCGTCCACATAAACAGCAGACAGATAATCGCTGTCGTCGTCTGATGCCGGATATTTCTTCAAGTATAGTCTGCTAACCTTATCTGTGTAATAAAATGAATTACTTTTTTTTATCTGATAACTTTATTACATGTCACAGTTTTATCGCTTATGTACAAATCTCCGACCCAATTTTTAGATACGGCTCGACGTTAGCATGATCAAACTTGTATATTCTATTGTTTTATCTTTTACGGCAAACATCTCCAAGTACATGTTATTTTACTTGCATTTTGAAACAAACGTGTTCAACGTGTATGAATTTTTTTTACGTAAAATTATACAAACGTGCCTGAAAGCAGTTCCGGAAATCGGTTTTTAGCACGATTACATTCCGACAAGAATGGCGGAGATGTGACTGGTCGCAAAGCTTCATCCTGCCATGCAATGTCTTGCAATCTGCAAATTTTCAATATTATATATCGTATTTATAAATTGACGCAAAAAACAAGAATAGTTATATTAGAACCTCTGCTGTTGAGCTGGTAATTGAGCCTTCAATTCTTTGATTCGCGCAGGTAATGTCTCGTTACACGGTAACGTGGTCGGTATAGAAAGCAAACATTCCACTAATGCCAAATGCGCTAACAAGTATTGCTGTTTGTTATCTAGTATATTGGCTCTTTCGTTTCTGATAGATGCTGTGTCAGCGAACACATCGACCACCTGCAATGCAATTTTTTTTAAATAAAAATATGAACAAGCCAAATCTTTTATTTTGTAGTTATGTATACGTTCACACTCGCGAGATTTATCAGTAAAATTGATTATTTTAAACAACACGACGGAATGATCACCCCTTCGGCAGCCGCTCGATGAAGACAAATGTCGCACAGAATGATGGTTCCGGTTCTTCCAACACCAGCGCTGCAATGGACGACTACAGGCCCATTTCCAGGTGGTGTCGCTAAGAGTTTCTTCAAATACGTAACTACGGAGTGTGTATAAAGTGGCACACCGTGATCTGGCCAGGCCGTGTAATGCAGATGTTCTATCTGTATCATTGATACATATTTAGAAATTTCTGTGAACTTTACAGTAACGGTTTTGACTTGAAATTGCGTATACCTTTCGAGTTTCTTCTCCACAAGTAACTTGAAAAGTTCTGAAACAATAGTCAGCAAAGACACTGTGCTTTGAGTTCAGCACGATGACGTCCCCGTACTTTTTTTTCTTGCCGATGTCCGGCCAATATTGCTCACATTTTGTCTATATAGAATTTATAAAGTTATTTGTCAATAAAAAAAAAAAATTATTTACATTTTCTTACTCGCGTATTTTTGAATCGCTAAACAACGTTCTTTATTAATTATATTTTTATAGTTTAAAGGTATGTACAAATTATGTTACAATTTACATAAAGAAGCGGTTACCTTTCCATTTTCAATCACATTTGCCACCATACAAATAATAAGGACATTTTCTTGCCAAATCATACGCCAGAAATCAATAACTGTGTTAGGTCTGGGTCCTTGCGTTGCTATATAATGTTTTGGCTTCTTGTATCCCTTTGTAAACAATATTATTATAATAATTGATATATATATATATATATGTATACATATATCTTCATATTCATAAAAATAAAATAAAATAAAAAACAAAAATATATTTTAAAATGTTTGTATTGTACGTGTAAATATAGTAGATAAATATTTCTGTTACATATAAAGTTTATATGTTTATACGTTTATATATCTAAATTGTAGGCCGTTAATTATGTTTATTTTTTTTTTGATGCAAATAAATTCGCAATTTTCAAAGAAAGATTAGAATTAGTAATCACATTTAACATGGAAAAATACAATTCTATAATCAGTATGATAAAAGTGAAATAGTCATGGCTGTTTGTCTACGTGACTTACGGTGATGTAATTGGCATTGATGTAATCAGAATATTCGTCATCCGGAAGTTTATTTAGTATCACTCGTGTTTCGTCATCTGTATAAAATTAGAATGCCGCTTGTTATATTTATTAAGTCGTACGAGTAAAGATGCCTATTATGAGACACCTTATTTTAAAGGCTTGTAAAAGCTATTTTAAAGGCTTTTTAAAGGCCGATTTATTAAATATACAATTATAACTCTTATAGCAATTTCGGCTGGTCTGCACCGGTGTGCCACCTGTGTAGAGTTGGTGCAATTGAGTGCAACACCGCATCGGTGTGTGTACTGATTACACTAACTGGCTCCGACTAATTTGTGAGAGCCACTTTGTGTACACCCAACATGCACCTATGCGGTGTACTGAGCTCAGACGAATACGCGGTACCAGCAAAGAACTGCTGCCATTCGACCAGTTTAACACACAATTTGCACCGACACCCGAAATGTGCAGTCGGTGTAAACCAGCCGAAATCGCTATTAGATTTATGTCAAACTTATAGAAAATATATTCAAGTTCTATCGCCAAAAGTTAAAAATCAATAATAGCTACACTTTGTTTTATTATATGTAAAAGTTTTTCTTCAAAAGTGATGATTTTGCCGATTCAAAAAAAGAGTTCTCAATAAGGGAGATACAAGAAACTTCCTTCTCATAGGAATTTTAGCAATAACAGAACTATCGACATTTTTAACATATCGTTTAATAGTAACGCTTTGGGACATTGAATTGTTTAGATGCTTTTGAATATCCCATTTCTTTGCTTTCTGCTGCTTTAATGCAGCCTTTAATTGCCAGTGAAATCACGATTGCCTCCTCTTTGCCTCTATCTGAAAATATGATTATTAAAAACTTACTAATACATCTAATAGAGAACTTGACAGTTCCTATAAAAGGCGGCTGCTTGTCTCATATTAGGGAATATTAAGTTGTAACAAGTTTAAGTTTGTATCAACAAAGTATGCAATAAATTGACAAAACTACATGATAAATCACCTATAGTGCATGTGTACATTTGAATGAATTAAAATGACAGGTAAGCTTATGACATAAAAGTGTTAAATACATATTTTAAAATTATAATAAGTATTTTTCTACTCCGCGCGTACGCGACAACTCCCTTGTAGACACCACGTCTTCGGCAGTAAGCGACACTAATAAAACATTTGATTGTGTAATCAAATGTAATTTGATTGTGTAATCAATTGTAATTTGATTGTGTAACCAAATGTAATTTGATTGTGTAATCAAATGTAATTTGATTGTGTAAGTGATATGTTAAAAATACGCAGTTATGAATTTGTAGCCGTTTACATGAAATAGCTCTCTATCTCGTATTAGTTAATTATCTTATAATAAGCATCTTTACTCTACAACGCAAAATTTACAATCAATTTGGTACTTACAGGCTATGAGATTGACGTGTCGATTTTTGGATTTGTTCTGCGACAATTTTCCATAAGTCCACGACCGAGTTTGTCCTCGCGGAAATGTCTTAAAATTATATTATAGAAGTAATAGATTTTTTTATATATCGCTTACTGTATAATATTAGTCATTATTTTTGTGGTTATATGTGTAGTTATTATACACACAACAGTTCTAACGTAGTTGAATAACATTGTGTTGTTCACAAGATGATTTTATCGTTGCATATGCAAAAATGTTTGCGTATAATATTTATAAACATTTAATTAAAAACACGACTTAACATATATTAAAGTTTTAGTTGACGTTTAGAGAGAAAGAAAAGAGAAATTTACGAAAAGCAAGTAAGTAAATAGTAGATAATAAAAAAAATGTAATTTACTGACCTCGTATTGTTTTTCCAACAATCCTGACTGTATTGCTTCTCTGACATAATCCTCAAACTCTTTAACCTTTACCGACAATGTTTTCTCTCGATCGATAGTCTCGACGTCAATGTATACTTCTTCCGGAGTAGTTGCCCGAGATAAAGATTTGGTCGAAAGTTTATCAAATGGAATCGAAAGTTTGTCAAAAGTAGAAGTGATATCTTGCTTTGAACTTGATATGACAGATTTTGATTTATATTCGTGAATTTCGATGTTTTCCGACAAAACTATCTCGTCGTTCAGAAATACTTGTTTCTTCAATTTCTTGTTTTTTCTGTGAAAAGCAGTTATACTATATTGTAGCTGAAGTAGATATAATTCAGTTTGCAAATAGTAATTACATTATTTTAGTATAGTAAAAGATACATTACCTTTGATAAATATAATAACCTGCAGCTANTATAAANAGAAGTAATATTATGAGAATCAACCACATCTTATAATGGACTGATGGAACTTCACCGATATTAATAGATTTTGTAAGCATGAGTGATTTAAAAGAGTCCTCAAGATTTGAATTCTGTTCTTTTACAATAACTACTACATTGTAAAATTGATTAGGATGTAACGGACAGTTCTTCGCACCTCCATAAGATAGGTCGTCGCCAAGTAAAAATGTATAATTTTTGCGAGCAATCTCATCTGTCTGTAATTAAATAGTACCCCAGTATAAACACGAGGTAACAAGAAAGTAATATTAATGTTATAATTTCTCATTCAATAATGTAACTGCTACGTACAAGGTATGTTACATCGCAATTACATTGTTGAGTAAGAAATCATAACATTAATGTTACATTACTGTTACTTTATGTTTACTGAAACATAAAGTATATAGATATTAAGTTATTTAAAAAATAACAAACACTAACCTATTTAGTAATATGGAAAAATTTATAATTTACACTTACATACGGAAAACATTAACTTGTTTTACTATTGTACTTAGATGTATCTAAGAAACATAATTTTTTACTTATTTCATTTATTTTTTTCTCTTATCAGCTTTAACACAAAAGCATTTCTTTATTTGTTTTAGGAGCAGTTTATAATCATAATATATATATATATATATATAATTTAATTAAATTTTTATTTTGTTTCATTCAGTTGTAAACCGTAGAGAAATACAAATTCTTTTAAGATTTTATTATAAATTGCATATTTACCGAGATTATAGCAGCATGCCAAGCAATTTCATACATCTTCACGTTTGCTTGCTCTTGCAGATTTTTAGGTACTTCCGAATATTCTTTGCATCGTTTGAAACCTTTTACAATTATGTGCATAACACTGTTACATGTGTCATTCAGAACAGGCGGTATGTGTAACATAATCGATGAATTCAAATTTTCCTTCAAAATTTGTAGGTCTCCATCAAAACTTGCGTCTGATGGCGTTTGTAGTTCTATAACGTTTGAACTACTGGTTTCGTACGTTATTGTCTCAGCCTGAATTGAGATGCGGTACTTTGTCGATGGGCATAAACGTAAGCGCTCGTTGTAATAAGGTGTATATTGTTCCACTGGCTTTTCCTGCGATTTTATTGTGTCAATAGAACGCAAATTGCGTTTTTTCTTCAGATTTGTAGTCTTTTCTTCTACCGTGATACGAAAACATCGCAAATGTCGACCTGTCTTCCATGGATGACGCCAGTTTAAATCCACCACGCTGTTGTCGTTTATTTTGTAAGTAAATTCATCAGGTACGCTAGGTTCTACAAAATAATCTGCTTGTACTTTTTTTTATTGTGGTGAGGAAACAATTAGCTTTACTTGCGCATATTTTAAAAATTAATTAGAAAACAAGATACACGCTATAAATTAAATAACAACAATAAAAGTACATATTTTGTTACAGTTACTATTAAGTGTAACCTGGTAACAAAATAAATAAACAGTAATATATATGGATAATATAAACAATAATACATTGAATAAACATTAATACATGTAAATACTGTAAACATTTATAATAATAAAAATTATAATACTAATCTTTTTTTCTCTAATAACAAACTATACAAAAGATGAAATTGATTTTTGTATAATATATGCGACATCTTACGTGTATTTTCAAGCATTTTTCTGGATACATGAGCTGGAGGACTTGCAGTAGTAACATTTGTATTGTACGCAATCACCTGTAATATAATAATTCGACTATTTTAATGTTGAAGTTTTCTACATATATTGTTTGATAATAGCACTAAGAAGGAATCAGAAAGATCTTGACAATAAGCAAATAATAATTATTGAACTACGTGTTAAGTGTAATATTTTTTAAACATTTCTCGATCATGTACATTTTTTGCAGTTTATTCAAATGTAAATTTAGTAAAAATTATGATATGTATATATTGAAAAAAATTTTACAAATAATTCTTTTCTTACTTGTATGGCGATATTAATTGTGGAAATTGGAAACTCTTCACAGATATAATCATTCCACAAATCACAAAAGTGTGTTAATTCAACAATTTTAGAACTGCAATTTTTGGTAGTGTGACATAAGGTAACATTATAATACTGCAATTGTCCGTTTAAGGGTGGAAGTGGACTGTGCCATTTCAAGTATAACGTCATGTTTGACGATACACGATTATCAATCTCGACGACTTCTAGATTGGTTACTACAGGTGGAGCTGTTGGTTCAAATCAATCTAAAGTTTTGATGACTTTGTTATATAATAAATTGAGAAATAAAGATAACAGCAAACGTAATATTACCTGTAGGTGGAGAGTTAAAAACCAGTTCTTGAAAAGCAGAAGAATTTTCTATACTATTAAATTCTCTTATTACATAAACAGTTGCCTTATATCGTTCGGCACCATTTAGTGGCGGATTAAAAGTTCTTAAATTAATATACTTGAATTGTGTTTGTTTAATTGCAGTGTAATTTTGGACATAATGAGTAACTCCGTTTATCTTTATTTTAGCTATTAATGATCCCGAAATCGTCGAGCAATCTTTAGGTGATTGCCATGATAATATCCAGTTGTGGAATTCTACCTGACTAAATATTTCCGTTGGTATATCTACAAAAATTGTGCTATCGTATACTGAGACACACTTTTTATATACGCGCGTGGAAAAATATAATTAATTTGACATATTTTAGAATCAATAATAATTATCTAAAACAGTAGTCATTGATAAGCACCATTTTTGTCTGTAGAAAACATTATTTCTGTGTCATTGCTGCTGTGTCGTGAATTGCGAGCTCTTACTTGCGCTTTATAAGACGTATATGGATGTAAATCTAAGATTGTGATGCTTGTTTCGTTAGTAAATTTTTTAATGGAGATTGGATTATCTGGCATAGTTAAGTTTTCGTTTGTACAACCGCAGTACTCATTAATCTAGAATTAATAGAAAACATTTATACAATAAAAAAGTTGATTACAATAAAAAATTATTTTGTCACATCGATTAGTTGTGGATGAAAATCGTAATGTTATAATAAGAACTACGTGTAAGCTAGTTGTTTACCTTCAACGTTACTTCATACTGCAAAATTTTTCCATTTGGTTGATCTGGAGATCTCCACGTCAGATTGACAGATGTATTTGACTTTTTCAAGTAAAAAAAATCTAATACTTCAGTTGGAACTAGTGATATTTATAAAACACAGATGCTTAAATATGTGTTTGCATACACATATTGGAAATTTTCTCACTGCATGCTTTATATCGTATAATTACAAACTTACCGCCTTCTAATGTACATACTGTCTCGAAATACAGCAAGCTGTTATTGTTATATTTTGCATGATGTATTATCACGTCATACCAAGTATATGGGTTTAATCCTGACAATTCACGAGAAAATTTTGTCATTTGTTCAGTGAAAATCAAACGACTATTTGTATATTGAAGTTGTAGTGAGTACCAATTTGGTGGACACGGATAGAATGGCTAGCATAACAAGACACCAAGAGTTTTTACACAATATGTACATATAATATAATCATAGTAAAATTATCTGCATTATATATTATAAAAACTAAACAGAAAATATGTACGTACATCTGAGTTGTTTTGCACATTAATCGTTATGCTGTTTTCTGCAGGTGTTACGACAAACTTTGTCGCTACTATATCATTGCAGACAGAAAATAGAGAAATTATATAATTAGAGAAGACTATAATTAACAATAAATATTGACACTTACAGTCGCAAGCAGTTTCCACATTTTGCCACTCACTCTCAATCAGACTTCCTTCAACACTTAAGATGCATTTCACCCAGTAAACAGAAGCAGGTTTTAAATCTTTGAAATACCCTGTCATGTGCGTCATGTTCGGAAACAGTTTATTCCATGGCAGCGTAATGGAGTAATTGAATATTTGAGTAATTGGGTCTAATCCCTGTAAAGAATGTATTAAAATATTACTTGATTTTTATTTGTATATTACGAGCGCGTAAAAAGTTGTATCTTAAGTAGTAGATAAGTGTGACAAGTTCAGGTATTAAATGAATTATTAGTAAAGATATTTCAATTTCTTTTGAATAATTTTAGAAAAAATAAGTAAACTTGTACTCATTTTACTTATACTTACTCCAAGTGTAAACAAATACAGTAGTGACAAATTTTTATATTCCTGTGTCCAAATCGTACGAACTTTGGCTTGGATACTTGTAGCGGTAGAGACAATTGAAGGTGCTTCAAGCTTGTCTATGCCTTAAACATCAGTACAGTTTCCGTTTATCTAATAACATCTATCAATAAGAGAAATCATCTGACAATTATAGTTACAATAATGTTATATATCATTAAAAGTTATTATACCTATCTGACATAGAGGTGGTATGTAAATCTTGTTTGAGGTTTTGACGCATCCGTTGATACATTCGCCAGTAATTTTATCGCAATTAAAATTTTTGCAGGAGCCACACTTATTCTTGCAATTATGACCGTACAAGTAGTTCTTACACACTTTAAGTATATTGTGACATGTATTTACAGATCGTATATAGACGTAGTGATAAAATTTAAACTGTAATTGTGAAAATTGTAATTAAAGAATACTTACGTGAAGAACATTCCGTATCCTGAAAACCTGGAGAACATGTGCAACCATTTGTATAACAGATCGCAGTTTCTTTACAGTTATCGTAACTTTTCAAATCGTGTGCGCAAGAAAATAAACATTTCGGCCCTATTTTTCCTATCGGACAATCTTTATCATCTGAGAGAAGAAAAAGTACATATTAAAATAAGTCTATATCATATTTAGCAAATGGACACCTAAAATTATGCAATAATATGTTTTTAGAAAGAATCATAATACATAGATTTAAAGAACGTGAGATTTCACATTTGCAATATAATTAACCATTAAGTAATCACCCAGATCTATGTTGGTTGTTGCTTCTGGTACAGAACTTACTACAGTATGTTCGTTATAAAATAGTTTTTGGCATGTTACATTTGGCCAATAATAAGAATTAGAATAAGTTAACGTCTGTCCAAAAGAAGCATTTCCTGTAGTGAAAATCGTTGCTTGTCTTAAAGATTCTATATAAACATAAAAAAAAAGATAATTACAAAGAAGTTAACAATTGGTTTGGTAGATTTTTTATAAATCTTTTATGTGTATATAAACACATAGTGTATTTTTATCATATTAGATATGCAATAAGATACTCTAAGTATGAGATATTCACACCTCTCTTGGAACATTCACGAACATCTGCTATTGCCCATAACGGATTGTAGCTATGCGCTTGAAGTTTAGGAATTACTTGAATTTTTACTTCACGATAATTGTCTGTTGATAAAGTTTTATTAAGTGTGATAAAATGCCACATAGGTAAATTATGAACAGCTGTCAATGATCCTTTCACTGTTACATTTTTTATTACTTCAAAATTAGAGGAATTAAGTATCACGACATGTGCATCGCATTCTGTGCACAGACCAATGATCATTTGTATACAAAGTGTGGAATTAAGAAGATGAAAGGTAGGACTTGTTAAAGTTGCACTCTCGGTAGAAGTGTACAGAAAATCATCTGAAATAGAACGCACACGTTTTTATGTGAACGTATAATAGAACGTGATAGTTCCTTAATCAATCTCATGTTTCTTCATCTATTATATTGCTCATTTTCTCTCTTTGATACACATTACTTAGAAATTTTGTTTAGAATATATATATATATATATATATA